AGCTCGTGTCCCTGCCCCCACCGCTCCCCATCTCCACAGGTTCCCCAGGTTCCGCATCCTTGGTTGGTGTGTTGGCTTCCTGTCTAGACAGCCCCAATTAGTTGCTCATTAAGAGAAGGGGTCGGGGGTCAGCCAAGCTACTTAAAGCGATAGAGCCCTTTATGGGAGGGCTGGTTCGCGGGGTCCCTCGCCAGCGTCTCTCCCGGCTGGGATGGGGAGCGGCTCTGTACAGGGACGTTTCATTATCTTCGATTTCTGCCCCGTCCTGCAAAGGCTCCTGCCACCCAAGAAACGGGGCGGTGGGCCTGCGAGGGAGGGGGGCAGTGGGCACTGGCAGCTAACGGACCCCCCCAGGGATTCACGCCCCGGCCTCACACTACTCCCCACCCGCAGGCCCCGGCCCAGCCCCCATACTGCCTGTGGATGTGGGTGCATGCGCCTGCTTGCGTGTCTGGGCTGGGCGAGGCAGCCTCCAGCCGAGACCCCCGGCCCCTTTAGTAAGCGCCCCCCTTCCACAGCCAGCAGAGCCTCCCCGGGCCGAGGGCCCAGGCCAGAGCAGAGCCACAGCCTGATCCTTCGCCTGCCCGCTGGTCGCTTGCCCTGTCATCCAGCCAGGGGCTGGGCCGTGGGTCCCCCTGCCAGAAACCCTGCAGCACAAGCTGGCCACCTGCTCTGGGCGTTGTGCCATTGAGCCAGAATCTGAATGTGAGGGGACTGCCCAGCTCGAGGGCCCCTACGCCCCCTCCTGCCTCGGAAAGGGGGTGTAAGGAGCAGGGGCAGGTAGCAGAGGCTCAGAATAGAATTTGGCCCGTTGACCTCCCTGGGTTTCCTCCCCACTTGCCCCAGGCTGAGATCAAGCCGCTGGCGACACAGGACATCTGGGTTCTCATCCCAGCACTGACTCAGCATCATGGACTGGCTGTCCAGTCTGCGCCTCGGTTTCCTCACCTTGGAGAGAGTGGTTCGGAGCCCGGGGTGGGCGGGTTCTGCTGGCGTTCCCTGTCAGCTGAGTGCTTGGGCGGACACCCAGGGGAGATTCAGATGCCGCCCAGCTGAGTAGCGGAGTGCTCAGAGCTGAGTGCATGTGTTTGTACTGGTGGTGCACATCCGCACATAACAAAATGTACTCCACACGCGGAGGGGGGGAACAGAGGGAACATTGGCGATGTCCAGCGCTAGCCGCTGCAAAGAGCTTTGAGATCCACTGTGGGATTTACCCCCAGAGCCACCTGAGGTTTTGTGTTCAAAGCGGGTTTGGGTGAAAAGGGCCTTTTTCTTTTTCTTTTTCTTTTCCTCCTTGAGCATTTGCCACAAACCCCCTTTCTTTGGAAGTCTGGGGAGTAATTCTGAGCTATAACAAAGCCAAGGCAGGTTGTGATGTAAAATCCTGACAGTTTGACTTTCCACGTTTGTCCTGGGAAACACACTTCCCGGCTGGCTCTGGTGAGGTTCTGCCCCCGCCGCTGCTCAGCCTCCCGCTCGCACGGCCCCTTTGATGTGCCGAGGTGGGTTGCGCTGTGTTATTTATTTAGTCTTGGCTCTGTGGTGCCCCTAGCAGCTTCCTCCCAGCCCCGTGCCCCGTGCTGAAGGGACACAGAACAAAGACGCTCTCCTCAAAGGTCGTGCTGCGTGTGGGCCG